GCTATCATTTGTTATTATTATTATTAGTAGTAGTAGTATTATGATTATTATTATTATTATCATTATTATCATTATTTTTTTTCATTATCATTATATTTTTTATTGTTTTTATAATAATAACAATGATGATAATAATGATAATAATAATAATAACAATAACAATGATAATAGAAATAATAATTGTTATAATAATAACAATAACAATAATGATAATAATGTTAATAATAACAATGATCATAATTATAATAATAATAATGATAATAATAATAATAATAATAATAATAATAATAATAATAATAATAATAATAATAATAATAATAATGATAATGATAATGATAATGATAATGATAATAATAATAATAATAATAATGATAATAATAATAATAATAATAATAATGATAATGATAATAATGATAATAATGATAACAATAACAATCATTATTATTACTATTATTGTTTTCATTATCATCTTATCATTATAATTTTCATTATTATCATTATTATTATCAATGTTATTATTATCATTATTATCATTATTATTATTATTATAATAATTATCATTATTATTATTATTATCATCATCATTATCATTATTATTGTTATTATTATCACTATTATCAGTATTATCATTATTTATATTATCATCATCACTATCAGCATTATTATATTCATCAATATTATCATTATTACCAAAATGGTTATGAAATATATTCGAACCGAGACATTAAACATGCCACTGATGTAAATGCTTAATTGCTTGAGGTCGACCTTGAACTATTCGTATTACTTAATCCCTAAAATGAACTTAAACACATAATGATTATAACATTTAGGTGCGTATGCTTATAGCACTAAGCACGTAGTACAATTCCACAACTAGCTTGGTTGATGATATAAATGTCTTAGTTATTCAGTATCGCATTATATCTGCAATATACTTAATTCATTATACTAATTATATTATATTAATCATACGTGGAACGATACTGTCTAGTTTGCCCATTTATTTTTTTCCGATTTCAGAAAGATTATAATACTATAGACTCGTGGATATTCTTCTTGGTTTCCAGCACATGCGAGAAAATAGTCTTGATAACAGAGTCTTTGATACGCTATCGCACATGTGGCATACGGTATCGGATCCCATAAATTATGCTTCACTGCTTCTCATTTACCGCCAATACCTTTTGTGAGGAGGGAAAGAAAGAAAACGCTTCGAGGGAAATATAAATGAAACGAATCGAAACGTGATGTAAAAGAAACGTTTCAAAGCGTAAATAAAGACTGAGCTTCGGGGAGGAAAATAAAAAAAACGGATGCATGAAGCGATTCGAAAATCAGGTAAGTGAAACGTCAGTAAAACAGGGAAAAGTAAAAAAGCTTCGAAGAGAAAAGAAAATTTGTGCATCTCTACGCCGGATGAATATTTACCTCTCAACTTCACTCGGGATTTGATTGCAGGCACAACCGTCAGGATAAGAATCGCGGATACTGAGCACTTAGCGGCCGGATACGGGGGGGGGGGGGGGGGGGAAACTCCTCGGCCGGATGACGGGTGTGCGGCGTGTGTGTCCGGCGAGTTCCTCCGAGTTTATGGCCAATGTTTCTGTTCTACTCTCCGGAAGTAGTAAATCTAACGAAAATGTAGAATAAAATATCCGTATCTCCCCCATTAAAATTCTATCAAAAGTTCATTCGTATATCTCTTATCCATTTTATTCTTCGTCGGATCGTTCCAAAGACACGGGATTTGCCTTTGGAACAAATTGTTTCCTTGTTTCCGGTCTAGAGTTTCATTTCGGAAAACTATAGAGCTAAATTTCTGATAGAAATAGTCGATCCTGTTGTAGCGATAACTGACTGCATATCCCTAGTCTTGTGTGCAGCTTTAAACTTGATAGGACAGATGCATTTCTTTTTTCTTTTTTTCTTTTTTTCTTCTTTTTTTGTCTTGGATCAAAATAACGTCTCCTTTTTTACGTCTGGATGGAGAGGAAAGGGAGAAAACCATGGAGGAAAATATAGAACAAAGAGAAATGGTAAAAAAAAATTAGAAGTAAGAACGGAAGGAAGGAGGAAGGACGGAAGTGAAGATGGAGGATGAAGAAGGGAGGAAGGGAAGACGAGAAGAGAGAGAGAGAGACAGACAGACAGGGGCAGAGAGAGATTGAGAGAGAGAATGGTAGAGAGAAAGAGAGAGAGAGAGAGAGAGAGAGAGAGAGAGAGAGAGAGAGAGAGAGAGAAAGAAAGAGAGAGAGAGAGAGAGAGAGAGAGAGAGAGAGAGAGAGAGAGAGAGAGAGAGAGAGAGAGAGAGAGAGCCAGAGAATGGTAGAGAGAGAGAGAGAGAGAGAGAGAGAGAGAGAGAAAGAGAGAGAGGGAGAGCGTCAGACAGATAAACAGAGGAAGAGAGAGAGCGTCAGCCAGATAAACAGTGGAAGAGAGAGAGAAAAAAAGAGAACGAAAGCGAGAGAAAAAGAAAGAAAGAGAGAGAGAGAGAGAAGGAGAGGA